TCTTGACTTGAGAACTTAATCTGTATTGGAAGGCGGTTCTCAAGTCAAAAAGTCTCTAGGTCAAGTCTCCATTGACCTACAGTGCATTGAAAACCGATTAATCCCGTAACAGGCCATTTTTGTTCCATGTTGGTTTTTTTCTGGTCTGTAAGTCAAATCTCAGTCTGCAAGTCAAACCTAAATTTTGCGGCCAGAGAAGTCTGTAACTCAAAAAGTCTGTAAGTCAAGCCATCTGTAAGTCAAGGGTCCACTGTATTCAAGCAATAAACCACATACGGTACCATCATGACAGGAAAATACATGAATGAAACATCCCCAGATATACTGATGTGGTTGGGACATTTACCTTTTTTGGACCACATAGCAATGTTGACCAGGAGGTTCAAAGAGCTGTAATCCGAAAAAGTAGTTTTCCCAATGTTTGTTCTGATGGAATACTCCACCAGTGGAGCTGTTCTGGCAGGAGACATTTCATGTGTGTTCCGCATATTATGACTGAATATTCAGAATTTGTCCTCGGCATTGGGAGCCCATGGACTACTTCTGTGTTGATGTTTCTTGAGATGTTGCGGTGCATCTGTCATTTTGTGTTTTTGTATTTTCTAAGCAGTGTGTTTTCCCCTCCTTTTCTGGGCTGAGCACCATTTACCCAATCTGCCGTAGAAATAGCAAGGTGGACAATTTATGCTGTTATGTGCTGTCAAGTGGCTTCTGACTTATGGCAACCATAACACACCATTTACCCAATCTGCCGTAGAAACAGCAAGGGATGTTGAAGGGATGATTTACCCATCGGCACTTTGCCCCTAGTGAGCTTCTATGGCCAAACAACGTTTCTCTTATGGCAACCATAACAGGGTTTTCAAGGTACAGTATATCAGATGCTGGAGGGATGATTTACCCATCGACACTTTGCCCCCAGTGAGCTTCTATGGCCAAACAACGTTTCTCTTGTGATTCTTAAGCTGCGAAGCATCTTCTGTGGGCAACCCAAAAGCTCATCAAGGGAACTAAAATTTGCTGAGGTGAGTGGCAGCCTTCCCATTAAATGGCAGTTCCCATATCGTGGTGAAATGGCTGTTAAACCCATTTTCATCTGTGGTGTAAACAGGCTCATAAAATAAAGCACATTCAGCTTTCCAAATACATGGAGCACGGAATCATGTGCCAACATCACTCCCTTCTAGAGGCAGTTTGGGGGCAGACCCAGCAGGCAGCTCCTGCAGTTTTGGGGCGAGGGACCCCTTGCCTTGATTCACGAGCCCACTTCCCAACTTCTCCCAGCCAGAATGTCTGGAGAGAAACCCTAACTGCATCCAGGTGAACGCACACACTTCTTCATGTGAACAGGCATCCTGAATAATCAGGTACCAGAATCACAGGAAAGACTACACTGAATGCAGTTAGAAGAGTCTTGAGGCATCTTGAAGGCTTTATGCGGTCTGAGATTCCATGGACTGCAGCCTAGTTTGTGAGAACATTCTGAGGAAGTGGGCTACAGTCTACGAGAGCTTATGCCAAAGAAGACTTGTTAGCCTTTATGGTTCTAGGAGTTTCTTGTTTTTCCAGCATCATTCTAATCTTCTCCAGACCCTCCAGTTCCACACATGGAGGGCAGAAGTGGAAGGCCTAGAGCAGAGCTTTCAAAACAAACGGTTTGGGGCCTTCGGTGTCTAGAATTCCTGAACCAGCATGACTTTGCTGGCTAAGAGATTCTGGGAAACGAATTTGTCATAATCCCTTTGCCATTTCTTTCTGAGGTGGGCCAAACTTTTATCCTTCTATGTCCTCTTCACACTTTGAGTTGGGAATGCCTGAACATTCCTACAATTTATTCAATTTGTTAGACGCCTGGGTCTTCTTATTCTATATGTTCTTCCCTTCACTTTTATGGCTCACTCAAGACTTTGTGAATTCTTAACTTCAGAATTTGACCAAACTCCAGGAGGCAGTGGAAGACAGGAGGGCCTGGTGTGCTCTGGACCATGAGATCATGAAAAGTCGGACATGACTTAACAACTAAACAACAACAAAACTTCAGGATCTCAGCTGTTTGTCCTCTATTTTTGTGGGATTTTGCTGGCTGTAGCCTTACTGGGAGTGTGTGAGAGAGCAAAGAATGGCATTGTGATCTAATATTTCATATGTAGGATATTGCTATCACTAACTGTTGGCTCATTAGGGAAAATAAAATAAACAGGGCAATCAAAGAAAGAGAGGGAGAGAGGCAGGGAGGGGTAGAGAAAATGGGCTATCCCAAAGATAACAATGTAAATAGTTCCATTTAACACTAATCTACAAATCCATTTTACATATGTCTGGCATTTGGGTGGATAACTTTTAAGAAGCCTGTGAAAATCTGCAGTTGGCAACTGAAGGGGAAAATAAGACTTTGTAGAGAAGAACAGCTGGGAGGCAGGTGAGAATGGAGTCTGACATCACCCAGGGAAGCCATTAAAAAAAAAAAGAAAGGCAGAGAAAATTTCCTGAAATATTTCTTTGTTCCCTGGGGTTTCTCATACTATCAGGACACATGTGGTGGTTGGAAGGGCCTATTTCAAATCTTTCCCTTCTCGCCTTGTGTGGCTTTAGGCTAAGAGTGTGTAAATACCATCCAATCTTATTTGTATTCAAATATTTGACATACAAATCAGGACTGACCCACCTCAGTCGGCTCTGGAGGTGTTCTGAACTGGTTTACTCAGAGTTTCTGAAAGCATCTATAGGTATTTGTACATTTAAAAATTGGGAGGGGAAAAATGAAAATGTGGAAAATAAAAGAGCTACACACTATGAGGGGAATGTGTGTGTACTACATAGCGCCATCAATATTGGGAATGCGGTCGACATCCAGTTTATTGAGAATGCTCTTTCTAGCTTCCCTTCTTCCTTCTTTTTCCCCCTTCCCTCTGCAGACCATGGTCAGAGATAATATATATTGAGGAGATTAAATAGGTCCACTCAGTATCCCCAGTCAGAACGCTGGCATGCCCTTGTATGCCCGCTCATTGCTTAGTGCATAGAAGATTGGTAGCCACTCACTTTGCAACAGGCAGCCACAGCAGGAAACAGGGAAAAAATCAGCACCTAAAGACCAGCAGCAGGCATTTTAAAAAGAAAGCAAGAGAAAACAGAGAATGATGTACAGGGGAGAGGAATAGTTCCTTGCACTACTTTAACCTACCCTTTCAAAGCCCATACAATAGAGGCAGTCACCCATCCCACATTCACCCATACGTTCAGTTCCAAGTGTCGTGAAGATTCAGAGTAGCAGCCTAATTTAAGAACAAACAAAAACAGAATATTCCAGTATACGGCCAATCTAAGAAGTAAGGTACCATTCTCCTCTTGCTATGTGGGAAGTGTGATGGTTGCTTGGTTGTATGGGTAGGGAATAAATAAGAATCCAGCGAGGGCAATCTGAGCATCTCCTAGTCTTCTTGACTGGACTTCCCGGAAGAGCTTCCGTCATTCACTGGATCTTCCGCGGTCAATTCCTTCCTTCCTTTTGCTGTATAAACTGGTGGCAAGTAGTGTAGATTTTTTTTTCAAAAATAAACCTTTTAACCCCCAAGCATAGGAGCAAATGCCCATGATTTGTAGGGGTCCCTTAAGTGACTAAAGCACAACTGGAGGCTTCTTGAGCTGACCCCTATTTACGTATCCTTGCTTAGCCCCCAATTTATCCTTGCTTAGCCCCCATTTTTGGCATTTCTCCACTATAGCAGGAGCACATCTCCAGTTTAGGGATTTCGGCAAGACAGCATTATGTTGCTAGAATAGGGGACTCTGGCGGCTCCTTGTCTAAAATCAGAGGTAAAAAGGGTGAACCAGTGAGCTCTGCCATTTTGGGGAGATATTCCCAGCCGAGGGCTGAATTCAAAATATTTGGGGGCCATAGTCCAGGAGCAATGGTGTCAAACACCTTTCCATCTCTTTGAATGCTTAAAAGCTGTGGACTTTGTTTTTTTTAGCAAAAGAGACTTGTCTGATTGCTAAACTATTGATGGCAGCCTTACATACTACAGCTAATTAGATCATTTCCCCTTCCTTGTCAGAAAAGGTTCCCTGCCTAAATTTCTCCATCCAGTTGCTACTAAAGGTTTAGGAGTAAATGAAACTGTTGGTGATTTTGCTGGTGAATCCAGGATCATTGAGCCTAATGGGGAGTCAAGAACCTGTGACTCGTCACAGTCTCCTTCCTGTGCTCTGGTATATGTTTAAATCTGGTATTGAAAGGAGGGCACATTTGTGAAACAGGCTAGTAGCAATGTGCAAAATAGGTTAGGGCTCATTCTCCTTGCATATAGGAGGGAATTTCAGTGGGTGTGTTGTTGTTGTTTAGTCGTGTCCGACTCTTCGTGTGTTAATGGTACAAAATTTCCGTGAATACAATGCATGGAAAAAGTAGACCTGTCTACTTTTGCACGTGGCCACCCTAATCTTTTGGATTCTCCAGGGTTCTTCATTAGTCTGGGCTAATAAAGAATTAAAAATAAATAAATTCCAGAATTTGGGAAGGGGAAAGAAACAGAAAGGTTGAAATCCTTGCCGCCACGGAAAACCCAAGGTTAGAAGTGGCAGCTTTCTTCAACTGTGTGATACTAAGCCCACAAGCCTTTGTGATTTGCTGTCACTTGCAGATTGGCTGGCTTGGCTTCGAGATTGGTTGGTCAGGAGTTCGACCAGATGGCTGAGGTGGCATTTCGACTCCTCAGCTCCCATGCTAGGAGAGGGTGAATGCAACCGAAACATTAATGTGTTTCCCCCTTCTAACAATGTGCTAATGATACTATCTGATTTGACCCGGAGCTGGGGAAGAGGGAGTATGCAAATGGGCTACACTAGGAAAAGAAGTGTGGTTTATTTCTGTTTTGCATGGAAAATATAAAAATATGTGCTCATTGCAAGATATTTGACAGGTGCCTTGAATTCTGCAAATAATTTCGGTCCTCTTATATGAGATTAAACTATATTTAAACACTTTGCTACTTTTGAAGAAGATACATCCGGACACCCAACAGCTTCATGAAGAATCGGAGAGAGGGCTGAGGTTCAGAAGTCCTTCATCTTTATAGCACTCTACCCAAAGTTTCTCTTTTCCTCTCTCGTACCTTCCCTCCCCCCCCTCCCCCTCCATCCACTTTCCTCTAGGATGGATTTATAAGGAGCTCCCCATGGTTGGAAATGCACTTAATTGAAACCAAACTTGTGCGTCTTTTTTTTTTGTGAACAAACATGGCACAGAAGAAAAAGAAAATGTTTTCTGTCGGCTGCCAAGGATTTAAGTGCCTACAGGTGTCTGAGGAATGCTAATGGATGGGGGGGGAATGACAGGGGGTATTGCTCTGCAGGCTGCATTTGGTTCCCATTAAAGTCCCCTTTCGCTGCTCTCTCAGCACCCCCGAGCCCCTTCCTGAACCCTCAAGCAAAAGGGAGCTTTCATGAGCCAATTACTGTCCGTCTCTCTCCCCATGTTCCCCAAATGAAGCCGTTGCTTGGTTAACAAAGAACAGATGTGAAAAAGCTTTGCCCCTCTTACCCCCTTCATCCAGGGTTGCAGCCAGGATGGAAAGCTGCTTCCCAGTTGGGTTTTGTCCTACAGAGCAGAAGACTGTGAAACTGGGCCCAGTTGGCCTTGGCTTGCACACTGGGAACGCAAGTGGGTCACGTTACTTTGCCTGTGAAAATAAACCAATTGGACTCTGGGTTGAAGTTTGGAAAAGTTCCTTGTTTGAATGGAAACTCATAGAATCCCCTAGTCAGTGTGGCTGATTGGATCTGGGATTCTGGGATCTTTCATCACCCAAATGAACTTTTCCAACATTCTAGAGAAACAGCAGGCCGAGAAAGGAAATATTTTCGTGTCACACCCTCACTTACATGGAGGGAGAGCTGAAAAGGTTCTCTCCTCATCCATGAGATGGCACACCAGTTTCCCAGTGCACCAGGGAGAATGATTTTTGCGCAATTTGCATAGTTGTGCAAAACTGCAATGGCTGCTGCTTCAATGCTTGTATTTTAAATAGATAGACATGACAGGTGACAGGTTTGTCTTTCTGAAGAGTCTGCCATTCCTTTTCTGTTGTTCTCTCTGTGTGTTTGGCCATTTTGCTTTGCAAAGGGAAAAGTTACCGGTTTTGCACAAATGTGCATATTGTAGATGTACCCCCCCAAAGACAAAGAGGGGGGAAAGGGGTGGGAAATGAAACAAAAAGAACTCTTTGTCTTGCTCCTGTTTCGGGTGTGAGAAATCTTCCAGGGACTGAAAGTTTCTCATTAAGGTTCCACAGTATGTCAAGATGGCCTGATTTGACAGGAATTGCATGAGGATTCTTTCTATCCCCACAGCAGATCTACAAATAAATACATTATATTTTAATGATGCATGCAATAGTTCTGCCTTCACTCATGGATATAACATACGTATGTGAACCTGATCTCTCTGTGTTGCCATAAGTTAAGAAATCTCTGTAGACTTTATCTGTTGCATGTTGATTCACATGACTTGGCATGCAACACAGAATGCCTACAGAAATGTCTTAACTAAGTTGTAGCTCACTGTTACACCATAATTGTGCAACAGGATTTCAGCGTGTGACTCAGGTTCAACAAAAAGCCAACGTATACTTCAATATTATTGAATTCATTGAGGTGTGGAAGTGGGGATCAGCCCACTTCCTAAGTTCACCCCTTCCTCAACGTGTCAAACAATAGGATAATGTGTTTATTTGTTTCATCTACTTCCTTTTAGCTTCTCAGTCCTGTCCAGCTCTCTTGACTGACCTGTTAAGATGCAAAGAAGCAGGGTGAAGATTCCTGAATTCATGTCCTCCTGCTTCCTCCAAAAACTATATCCAAAGAACTGGGCTACCTTTGTGTACTTTGCTACTGTAATGGCATGTTACAAGTGACAGTTCTAGAGTTTTTGAAACATCAACGGGCAATCAACCAAATTTGACAAAATACACTCTTGGCCACAGAAGATATTTATACTTCCACAGAGAGCGCAGGGTTCAAAATTACCCCCATGCTGTGTCCTTCAGGGGAGTGTAATCCCATTGAGGCCAGGTAAATATCCCTCCAACTGGTCTGATGATCTTCCCAACAATAGGATCTCTGTCTTATCTGGATTGAGTTTCAGTTTACTGGCCCTCATCCAGACCACTGTTGATGCCTGACAGTGCTCAAGGACCCACACTTGCAGATGAAGAGAAGGAGAGATAGAACTATGTCATCTACATATTGACGACAACATACTCCAATCTCCATATGATTTTTCCAGTGGCTTCATATAGAGTAGCTATTAAAAAGCATTGGGGAAACAGCCAATCCCTGTTGGAACCCATAATGGATATCCCAAGGGCTTGACAACACCTCCCCAAGCTGTACCACCTGGGATTGGCCCCTAAAGGATGACTGGAACCACTGAAAAACATGGCCCTCAAGTCCCAAACCTGATAGCCATCCCTGTATCAAAGTCTACAGAACTATCCAGCAGGACCAGCAGGGTTACACTCCCTGTGCCTGTTTCCCTTGGAAGATTGTCTTGCAGAGTTTGAAGTGAATCTAGGCCATCTATTTCCTCCAAGAATGCATCCAGCTGGTCAGCGATCGTCTTCTCAATCAGCTTCTCAGGAGTTGAATGTTGGCAACGGTTCTATAGTTATTGAGATTGACACTGTATGCAAAGTTGGAGTGTTCTCTCCAGAGTACAAAGCCTGGGTAAAATAATATGGAGGATAGATGGTTACCCAAGCAGCAAATCTCCCCTCTCCACGTCACTGAAGTAGTCCAATGGAAAGGTAAGAGCCAGTACAACTGGTTCCAGCGACATTGCAGGAGTTGTCAGAGAGGGACTGTTCACAGTCACGAACTGCCTCCGGGACTCCGGCTCCGGATTTTGCCTCGAGGTTAACTCCTGAAGCGTTTTCCATCGGTGCATATAGCCACAAGGCAGTGGAGGTTTGGAATCGGAGGTTTTCTTCTCCTAGATGGGCTGCCTTCGAAGGCTAACGAGCCCCACCTACCCAGGTTATTGAGATCATCTATTGCTAAATTAGGTTTCTTTAGAATGGGCCTTAGAATGGCTTCCTTTAGATGGGAAGGTAAAACCCTCTTTAGGGATGCATTAATGACGGAAGTAGCCCATTCCATGGCCATTTCCTTCCCTGGTTTTAAGAGCCATGGTGGACAAGGAATTATAGAGGAAGGGATGGCTTTCCAGCGTGTAAGTCCTTGTGTCCACATCCTCAGGCCATACTAATGGGAACTGAATTGAACCTAAATAGATAGCGTCGTGGACCCCTCTCCATCAGATCTGCTGGTATCAAGGTCCGAATGGGTGCTTTCAACCTTAGAACTAAAGTATGCTGCTGGTTGGTTGCAGTTCTCAATATTTGAATGGACAAATTGTTTTTGTTTGGAAAAAAATAAGGCCATGATCTACATGGAAGAGTTCCACCTGATAGTCGGAAGCCACCTCAATTAGTTGAACTCTATAGTTTCTTTTGGTGTTCTTCAGTTTATTCCAATATCTTCCAGATGGTTCCCCAACCATCAGTAGGTTTCATTCTGTAGGAGCTTTCCTCCATCTGCTCTTTAGCCTTCTTTGTGGTTGCTTCGTTGCCCTTAGCTCCTCTGTCAACCATAGAGAAGTCCAAGCTCTGCATCAAAAAGGACAGGAGTGATTGTGTCTACATCTCAGGTCATGTCTGAGTACCAATGGGGGACCAGAGCTTCAATAGGATATCAGCCAGAAATACCCCCCAGGACATTTTGGAAACCCATCAGTAATAAGCCCTTCAGTTGTGTGGAGTCCAGATGTCAACATGAGATGATCTGAACATGACAAGGGGTAGGAATCAAGGTTCCCCCCCTTTCAGATCATCCTCTTCCTGTCCTGTCATAAACACTAGATCAAAGGTTTGGTTGGGTCCTGTGGCATTTTGGGACAGGCCCGTGGCAGCTATAACCTCCAGACCTGCTCCATGACAGCTGCTTCTCCACATGTATGTTGCAGTCCCCCAGAAGTAAAAGTCTTGGGGACCTCAATGTAGCAGCTGAGATGTATTCTGCCAGTTTTGGTAGGGAGTACGTTGGGTCATGGGGAGTGGTACACCAACACCAGTCCTGTTCTGTCCAGGTGGTCCAGCATGAGATAAAAATACTGCAAACCTAGGAATGACGGGATGCAAGGTTGGAAGACCAGCAGTCGTAAGATTGAATCCACGCGACAGAGTGAGCTCCCGTTGCTTGTCCCAGCTCCCGCCAACCTAGCAGTTCGAAAGCATGTAAATGCGAGTAGATAAATAGGTACCACCTTGGTGGGAAGGCTGTGTCTAGTCGTGCTGGCCGCGTGACCACAGAAACTGTCTTTGGACAAATGCTGGCTCTACAGCTTGGGAATGGGGGTGAGCACCGCGTCCTAGAGTCGGACACAACCAGACTAAATGTCAAGGGGAAACTTTACCTTTACCTATCCTTCCAAAAATTCAAATTTCTCCCACCCAAGAAAAACATATTGAAAAAGTCCCTTTACAACCTTAGGATCCCAACAATAGCTGATTAGTTAGATTAAAAAAAGTCAAACAATCAGGCTATGAGACCCTATCAAAATTAAATAACTAAGGATAAGTAATAAATAACAGGGCAATTGATTAATAAACAAATAGGAACTAGAATTACTGTTGGAGAACTCTAGTGAACTCCTCTACAGTACAACAGTAGAACTGTTTAACAGATAATTCTAAGGTATCAAACGCTATACTCAAGGATTATGAAGAGCATGGAGCCATGGGAGTTAAACTGCTTTAAAAGTCTAGTGTACATTCAATTCTTCTAACTAACTTCTAGCTTACAAAAGTGGGATGTTGTGCTTCTGTACCCACAATTCAAAAATCCAGGGAACAGCCCAATATTGCTGCACAATATTTTGCCTGTGTTGCCAGTGGGAAAAAGGATGCCAAGCTTTACATAGTAAAAAAGGCAGCCTGAATGTTGACAACACCCATGGCAACAGTCAAGGTGATTTACAGGATCCCCTCTTGTGCTCAATACCATTCACACAGTGATGCCACATAAGAGAAAATCCCAGAAGTGGGCTTCTTTTTTCATCAGTTA